TTTTGAATTTACGTATAATAGGCTGCATTTTCTGATGCCCTGGGCATCAGACTGTCCCTTTTAGTCCCTTTATATATTTGTTAATGTGATGACCCTATGGCTGAGATGAAACAGTTCTTGCAAATTGTTTTGTGCTCATATATGCATATGCTTGGAGTAGACGAGAACGAAACACCTTTCCATTCTACTATTGCGTTACGTTAAATGACTCATGAAATCAGTGAAAGGAAACTTCAAATCTTTTGGGTATTCAAATAGCGCTCGCGTCAAACAAATCAATATTTTCTGGTACATATATATTGTGAAGCAATTAATTCCGCACAAACGAGGTGTAAGGGTATTTAGCGTAGCACGATGTGTACATCGAATAACACAGTTTGTGTAAATAATGGTTCCATTACATTTGAACCCACGTACATTTGAACCCATGACAATTGCACCTGTATGCTATTGCACCTATGGAATTTTTTTTGTTTCACGGATAGTTAAACCCATACTAACCCTAACCCATGGGTTTTAGCACCCGCATATAGATTGAACCCGTGGATATACGCATGAGTTCAAATGTACATGGGTTCAAATGTACGGTCACCGTAAATAATACACTAACACTTGGATTCCTTAACGCCAAGTAGTACGGCGTAATAATTACCTTGATTTAGTCCTATAAATAAAATTTTGGGTACTGTACTAAGACATACATGTATTTAATTGTATACTAAATCAATAGGAACATGCGAAGCATGAATGGATTAATATTTCTATTCACTCAAAATCGAGATTTTGAAGTTGTACCACTGTTGCGATTTTGGCTTCTAAAAGGGACAGTCGTTTTCCTTGTAATATGTGTTCTTTGCCCAAGTCACCGCACGCCTAGCTCTTAATTCAATTGAACGAGAAGTATCGCATTTATTATATCGCATATTTTCCGTTTTGCATTGCTCACTTTCTTCCTAGTTTCAATAAACCTTGTCGCTTAAAGCTATAGCAATTTGGTCGATAATTTGTAACTGATAACTTTAGCGGATCGCGTTAGGTTGCTTAGTTACCTTAGTGAACCAGAGCTGTGATTCGCATGTGTGAGTGACTTTACGTTACGTTTGGAAAATAATCTCGTACCAAAAATTAGAAAACCGACAAACTGGAGACTTTGAATACACTTGATAGAATTATTTCATGGCCATTTTTTGACCGAGCCATTGTTATAGCCTTCCACATATAAATTGAAATTGTTGTAACGATATGCGCGATAAAATGAAACATAATTATTTTGATAATACAATATATTCTTGTAAAATCCAGATGCTTGGTCATCATTATCATCAATACGAATATTTGCTTAACCGTATAAACTCTATCCGGATCGACGTAATAAGGTTGGTAAATATTACCTCGATCGATTGAAAAAATGCCCCGTATTAGAACGCCAGCTATCAATTCAAATAGTCTAATTAAAAATCAGAAGCATCTAAAATATTGGTAATACCAAAATATAATAATAAGTTGTGCTACTTGCATGTATTTTAAAAATTTTGTGCTTTTTCAATATGTCATACACATGCACAAAGATCTCTGCCCAGCTGCCTATTGACTTCACGCATTCAGATCACATGAAAAATATTCATAACTAAAAACATTTTTACATTTTTACAAGTATAAAACAGGCAGGTTGTGGCCCTGTGAACCCCGGCCAACGAAGATACACAAGTTTTCCGTCTCCGAAATATTACCCACTTAAGCGAATTGAATTCATTTCGAAAAGGCTTTTGATACGGAACGTTAACGTTTTAGAAATGACACAGCTTTTTGAAAGTGCCTGGTATTTTGAAAAGTGAAGTAAGCATTGATGGAATTGAAAATTATTTGAAAACAGGTCCACTTCTTCTGTATCTCACAAGCAACAGGTTTAGTCGTTTCAGAAATCCCAGTCAAACTTACAGCTCTATAAAATAAGCTGTATATAACGTAACATAAGCTACATTAACATGAGAAGACTTACATAAATCTAATATATAACTTTCGAACCGCCAAATATAACACTAGTTATCAGCTGCGGTATCCACTTGCTGCGATCGTCTAACGTCTAAAACAAAATAAAATGCGAGAACTGTTTTGCTGATTATCTCAACATTCCAAAAATGGTTTCGCACTGTGTGGAACCCCCTGAATCCCAACACCGGACGTAAAACATTTTGTCTGATTACAACTTATCATGCGCTCGAGAGGCATCGTCCATTTAGATCGCAAATTTGCATGGCCATAATAGGGGAATAAAGGATGAACATGAACGAGGTAATCTCTTTCTAGCTAAAGTTAGAAAAAGGAACGAGGACACGTGAACCCAATTGCCATATGAATCGCGCCATATGAAAAAAAGATTGAATTTTTTGAGCAGCTACAGAACAATTAAATGCAGTGCTATGTTTGAAACTTGTTCCAATTTAAATTACTGTGTAGTTTACAAATGTCAGATGGATCTATTCTATTCGATTTAACTTCGTAAAAGAGGGGGTTGATATCCTCATCGAATAGCTGGCAACGACGACCATATTTTATGAGACTAGGGACCAGAGCTTATCGAAGTTTCATGGTTATCTGACGGATGATTTTTATAGAATGCCGGTGTTGAACTACTAAAAATCACCTCATGACAAGCGTACCCAGGCAAGAAATTTAAATAGTTTGGCGACAGCGTATGCCTAATCTCGGAAACCACCGCAGAGTCCATGAGTTCTAATGAAGCATCGTACATAAACAACAAAAGTTTGCCATCTTCTGAAGTTTCCTATTCAAGATGAGGCCAATTTTTTTTTCATATTATATCATATACCTTGTCATTGGTTTCTCGTCGTTGTCGTAGACTTGTTGTCTGAGGAAATCTGGGTTGGACCAAACGTTGAAGGTTAAAAGTGTGAAGCAAGACATTTCCATCACTCGATATAGATTCGCTTTGCTGTGACTTCAAATAATCTGCCATTTTACCTGACCTGCAACCAACAAGTATCTTTCCCCTAGCACAAATATTTACGATCTCGTTAAACCAGTAGCTACCAACCGTTTTTACATCGCGGCACACTATTGAGCTCTTTAAATATTCACGGCACACCTATCACAAAACATGAAAATTTTCTACTCATAAAGTCATTTTGCTATAAAATAATAAAAAACAAAGGCCAGATAAGGGGGATTTTATTCATGTAAATACAACATATCCTGTATTTAGTAACAGGTATAGAATTATATTGGTGAATGTCAGTGGGACTGTTGTGTCTGGTGCTTCTTTATTACTGCTGCCATTTGTGGATGAATGTGAGAGAGACATACTCTTAACTCTTTTTGCGTGTTTTTGAGTCTCTCGACTTTTTCATTCCTAATATTGTTTAGGTAAGAAAATCCTAGCTCACATAGGTAGGAAGTTGAGAATTTTAGTAAGACTTTGCTGGCGTTGACCAATCACACTGAGCTTGATTCTACGAATCACCTGAGAAGACAGGGTTCGGTCAGGGGTGGACACCTGGGGGCGGTCAGCACCTTCGGAGCACCTCATATTATTGGAAAAGATGTGCGGCCGCACGGGTAATACGTGGTCGTCAAATGCACCGCCGATCACGCGCTTCGGTTTTGCTCGGCCTTCTTCATTCCACGTCACCCCTTCTTATTATCACAGGTATTCTCACTTTTGCACAACCTCATTCATTTTTGTTACAATTTAATATGCTGCTCCCATTGCCAAAATCATTCAATAATGTTTTTGTCAGCGCTTGCGAGAGAAATGAATGAGACAAACAAACTGTATTTCATTACAACAATTTTTTACCGCTGGACGTATCTTTTCACGTTATGAATTTCGTACAGGACCCGAGCATACTTTGATGGCAAAGATCATAGCATTTACTATGTGGCAAAAAACTATCCGAAAAAGATAACTGTTCTTGTGTTCGAGATACGAAATATCAATCATATCCACCACGCTTTCGTGAAGTAGTACAATTTACTACATTTAATGGAGGTTTTATTGAGTTATATCAGTGTTTGGACTACCACGCGTTTCGCCAGATTATTGGCGTGATTACAGATCGCAAGGGTTGGGCAAAATAGAATATTTTTATCGAATCGAATACTTCGAACATTTTTAACGAATTGTCGAATATCGGGTATTTTTAATATATATACAACAGGCATCCAGAACGATAGACGTTCTAATGTTGTTGAGCTATTTCCGCGTTCCCTTTTTTTTCACAAGAACCAATTCTTACGCAACGGCGAACGTCAAAGTTTGGCTTTGTATTCCTGGGACAACTATGCGTTCATATCGTCGACATATGTTAAAGACAGCTATTGCGGATTGATTTCGCGAATTTATTCCGATTTTTAACTTTTGCGCCTGTTTAGATGTTTCTCGTCGGATGCGGATATTTAAGAAGACGATAGTTGACCTTCTTATGAGTTTACTCTTCTATTGTGCCTGTTTTATTCTCGTATTAAATAAAAACCCTGCAAATTCATTGCGTGAATCCTGAATGTTATTTTGAGTTTAAATGATGATGTAATAAATCTGCAATAATGGTAATTATATTAGTTAAATAATAATTCCTTGGTGAAATTTGGGAACTAACAATCTTAGCGTTCCATGTTCGCGCATTGTCATTGCTTTAAAAATAACCCAATAAACATTAAACTTGGGCTAAGCATGTCGTATGATTCATAACGGTCCAATCTGACAAGTGGATCAACACTAGTGTAAGTAGAATAATTGTAGCTTAAAAGCACATGGTTAGCATCAGATTATTTATCCAGTTTGTTTTAAGAAATGCAGACGGGTGTAGTGGCAAAATTTTTGAAGATAAAAGTAATAGTATGAAAATATGGGATACTTTAGATAAAGTTTTATTACGAAAGAAGAAGTAATAACAAAAACAAATATTATTTGTCCACAAAGAATTGAATCCCATTTTAAGATCAAGGACAGATCCATTTCACCCATTTTTTAAATACACAAATACTCTTTATCTAGGTCTAGGAAATACTCGACGTGTCTACAATAAACGGTACATGTCAGTACCAAACCTATACCCCTCAGATGCAAGCAAGAACAATTCAATATATAAATATCACAATTTCGTCAAATAATAATATTAAAACAAAGATACTGCGCCACCCCATGTCGCACTCCGTCCAACGCCTATTTCTTTTGCATTATAAGTCAACATTCCGAAAGTCGATCCATATCTGAATTTCAAGCCTGTATAAATAAATTATATATCGTTAAATACCTAGAATACTCCAGCTGGTAATTACGTATGTCGCAGCGCTACAGACATCGCAACTGCTAGATTTTTGGGACACATTTATGAACATTGTGTTGATACAGGACACAAACATTGACTTTGCTAACTTTCTATTGTTACATCTTCTTGTAGGGTTAGAATTGAACATTGGATTCGAATTGGTATGTTACATTATTATTCACTGTATTGGATGGGGTTACATGCCACTAAAATCACGTTTATGCTTCACCTGTACGTTTCCCCACAGTGTTAAATTGTATAAATAGGAAGTATCATATTTTAAGAGTAAAATTTGATTGTTTCGTGTCATTAAAAAACTACGTAGATTGATACTTACCAATTCTTATTTGTTACTTCACAATAGAATATTATAATTTTTAAAATGATATTTTTTTTATATATCATCTTCTTAAAAGGTAATATGTTATCACATACCTGGAACATATCCCATATACTTGGGTAAAAGTCCGGAATGTACATGATATAAATTATTTTTTTCTTGAAGCGCGTCTTTTCGATATAAATCATATTCAGGGATCGTTCTCATACCAGGAACTGGAGTGCTTACCCAAGGTACGTTTTCCGGTCTTATTCGTTGCCGATTCTCCTGAAATAATACGTAATATTTTTACTGAAGTCAATCTGAAAAACGAAAAAGATGAATAATTTCGAAACCGTTGGCCTGACAAAGGTGAATATGCCATTGTTGATAGCAATGTTCAAAGTAACACCACCCGAAACCCCTTCCCCCCTCCTGCAATTTTTAAGATGTGACAGCACATTTTAATTGCTAATTCAAATTTTAACTGTATTTGAATATCCAGAAAGTGGTGTATGTATCATCAGTTTTCATCACAGATGGTCAGTCAAATACATAAACACATATTTATAAGTTACAAATCGCCAACAGAAAAATATCTGATACCCTCCTTATAATGAATATTTGGGGACCTAACTGGTCTGGGAGATCAGAGTGCAATATATTCATTTGCTGAATTTCACTGAAAATTCAATCGAAAGTATAATTATAAAAAATAGCTATGACGACAAACAGCAGTTTGTACCAGCCTGAACCGCAACGTGATTTATTATATAAGAGATTAATAACGTCAATATTAAGGCAAATCCAGTCATTACTTATCGATCTTAAGATCGGTAAGTATGTTGATAGGTATTTGTCTGTATGTCTGTTAGATGAACGCGATATCTCAAGAAGGCGAGGTTGAATCTGCTGCAAATTTTGCACGTGTATTCATCATATCTCAGACCAGAAGCCTATTGATTTTGGATGTATCATGTCGTATAATTAGCGAGGTATTAATTAATTAGTGATGGGACACGCGGTGTCACTATAGAGTCATGAATCAAAACCGCAGTTTCGATCGATAAGTCTTCGGTCTCCGACCAATTTTCTCGGTATTTTATTAATAGATTTCACTTATTACTAAACTCATTAATCGTTCTCCGCAAGAATGCAGTGCATCTAAATCTAATCTACACAATGTGTGTCCATTTTATTTTTCCATGACCCAGTATTTATTTAAATAAACACAATCAAGTGACGTTTCGTTATATTTTTCTATATAAACTTACAGTTACAGGCCTCGATGTTTGATTTTGACTTGACAATGGTGGTAACTTAGATGATGTTGTTTTCCGTCGACCACCAGGAGCAGAGAAGGCTCTTCTGGCTTCTGAATCATTATTTCCGTAAGATTGTGCAACAAATTTTCGTGTATCCGCTTCGTAGTCTTGTCTGGTTTTATTTGCGGAAGCTGTAAATTCAAATAATATTTTTTTACTTGAACAACCGCTTGTACGCATTTGCCTATATGTAAATCCATAATTATTGGAACACCCATGCTGCTTTGCTGAGGGCAATTTGTTTCCACTGGTGATTTCATCTTATCTATTTGTACAACTGGAATATTTGTATTTTAGACATGTGTAAGCGCGTAGAATTACAACTGCGGTTAGTTGAAATTGTAGCCACCAATAATTAATTTAAGGGTTTGCACCTTGGCCGACGTGTATAATTGCATATATACAGTATGTATTGATTCAGATCAGACCCGACGCATATATGAAACGTGCATATTGTGATAACTTGGAAATGCAACTCAATGTGTCTATTTGTTTATACAGCTGCAGTCAAGCGATGATTGCTGTGGCGTTTTAAATCAGACACCAATCATTGCTGTGCTGTAGATGTAGTATGTTAATTCTTTCAACTTTATTCATTTAACTATTGAGCCGCTTACTGTTAGCATCAGCAATTCGATACGTATTTGTTTTCTTGTTAAATAACATTTGCTTGTGTTATATTACCCTAGATTCATTCTAAGAGTGCTTTAAATTTAAGTTGAATAAAGCCTTATATCAAGGTACTATATTTCTCATTCATTACACATATTGTGCTTTCAAGCTTAAATTTCACAATGCACCGATTGATGGATGTTGATTTTGCGTTTCGGTTATTGGGCTGAAGGCTTTTTTAATACTTTTTTGTATTGAATAAAGGTGACTGTTTGCAAATATTTGAAATTTACAATATTATACATCACCGTTCTTTGTGATTTAATTTAGGCATATGAAAACAAATAGAACTGAATATTTTCACGGACGCATCTAAGATTCAAAATTATCACCAAATTCGCCGTGACTACAAAACAGACTGCTACAGGCTATCACAATATGTGTTGTGCAAAAGTTTAGCCTAGATCAGTTGCGGTGATTGCATGTGATCTTAAAAAATTCAAACCTCACTCATTTTCAACAACGCGATTTTACACTATTGTACCTTTTTCAATTAATTTCTGACTCCGATACCTTTCAAATACCATATTTTTTCAAAGTAGTTCACAGATGCATGCGTAATCTATGTGCAAACAAAATTTCCAAAGTATAGATAACTCTGGATGCAAATGTTCACTTATTCAAATTTTTCATCAAGTACATGCTGTATTTATAAGCACCAATATCTTGCGTGTCAATGTCTTTTACTATAAAGTTTGCATGTAGTAAGTAAGCTACTAGAGTACACAAGTAGTGTTTAATTTTTCTTACCGTATAATTCAGATGTTGAATAGTAAAATTGAGTCTTAGGTATGTAATGCCGCACTGGTTGTCTCTTTATAAGAGTCCCTTGACTTGACCACACAGGGCGCTCTATAGCTCTGTTGGATGACATCTCAGGAGAGTTCATCCCCGGAGGAATTGGCGACTTGCATACTTCCTCTGTTTTCGGTGTCATTACGATATTATCGAGTTCAATTGTGTGTTTTGTTTTATCAAATATTTAATATTTTAATCATAGTTTTAAATTAAAGAACCTTTTATCGTTTTATGACGTCACACTGTGATATAATATATAAACCAATATGTATAAATTATTACTCGATCCATTATTCATGAGCTGTATTTTTTGCTGTTTGGTACCAAACGTGCCTTGACTTTGACCAATTTCGCTTTGCGATACATCACTACGATAATATGCAAATCGAATAGAATTCTTATAAAACATTCTCTAGAGCAGGGCTTTTCAAACTGGGGACCCGACCCCATGTGGGTCGTAAAGGGTTCGATGGGAGACGTGGTTAAATTTTTTTCGATACTAATTTTTGTTAAAAACAAAATATCGATCAAATTTGAAAGATTTGGAGTCAGTAATGAGCCACCATCATCGAAACAGAGCCAAGATTCATTCTATTTGTGAGATAGGCAAGCACATCGCTCTGATTAAAAGTATTGTTAATATTATTATTATTTTTTAATTTTCTGTATTATTAAATTTTACGTCATTTTGATCTTAGTTCTTGAGGGTCGCGAAAAAATTTGGCTGTGCCTGATGAGTCGTGAACTCGTGATGAAGAACACTGCTCTAGAACATAGGTTCTCAAAGTGCTCCGTACGGAGCCCCAGGGCTCCGCGAGAGAAACCCAGGGGCTCCGCGAGCTATTCGATTACTCTTCAAAATACTGACTCAAAATTTTGTAACTGTTCAAAGAAGCAATAACAGCTTTGATAACATCTGACAACAATATAGCCTCGAAATATGGTAAAGGGCCGGAATTAAAAAATGACATTATTTATGAGCAGTAGCGCAGCCAGGATTCTTAAGAGGGAGGTGGTTCAAAATTGGAATCGGAAATTTCCGCGCAACATTTTTCGCGATTAAAAAAACGGATAACGAGATTTCTGTTGCGTAAAATATTCAATCCAAGACCGATGGAGCATTTGACGTGTCTCGTCGGTATAATGTAGTTGTGCTCATCGTTACTCACGTTTGATTCGAGATTACTATTAGGATTACTAAAATGAAAGAATACTATTCTAAAATAACATAAAATATGTGATAAACTGCCAACTATAAATAAATTGGTGTCGTATTTTTGCGATCTTGGGATTTGTCAAACTTGATTTGTTCTTTCGCACTTGAGATTATTTTTAAGCAAGATATCGCTGTTTAAAAAATCACAATGTCTGGGGAAAATACGAACAATTGAAAATTATTTTATTGCATTCAGCTCCGTCGGTAGTTTCAGAATGAAAAAAGGTACATCGCGGATCGCGCGCACCATTGATTGCGTGCGGCTGCGTCGGTAGTTTCAGAATGAAAAAAAAGGTAAATCGCGCGCACAATTGACTGTGTTTCGATTTCGCAGCTACTACGATGAAAACCTAACATAACACCAACTTTTGTGATTTACAATGTCTATAGAAGCGTTTTCAATCTGAGGTGAGTCTGCTGAAACCAAAGTGTGATCTTCCATTTTAAGTTTCAGTTTAAATATTTTAGAATGCCGCTTTTCAATCAAGAAATTTGAGTTGTGGATTTACCTTTTTATTGATTATTATTTTTAGCATTTCGTCGCCGATGACTATAATATGGTAACATGTTTTTTACATTGAACTCATAATTCCCCACGAGAACAAAAAAGCAATTAACGTCGTCATTGTGTAACAATACATGTATATGCCGAGGGAAATTTTTGATTTAGGGAGAATAAACAGCGGCGTAAAGATGTTTAAAACACGCCATGCTGACGGAAAAAATCGGCGATTGTAACAAAATGAAATAGCGCACGTTACTAACGGCCTTTTAATTAAGTCTTCCAAAAATGTCAAAAAAGAAAAGATTCGATCCCTAATTTATTAATATGTTCGTCAAGTGTCAAATTTACAGCTTTAGTATAAAATTTAGATTTATTTATGACTTGTGTTAACCCTATTAAAAAAGGTTCAGCATTTAGAATAAATAAAGTACTTTTAACTTGCTCGGGAATAATAATCTGAAAGTAACAATTTTAAAATTTATTTTGGGGCTCCGCGAATAATATTCAACCTTTCAAGGGCTCCGCAACACCAAAAGTTTGAGAACCCCTGCTCTAGAATATTCCATTTTTCAAAGTATAAACTAAACTTCTCACTAAAAAACATACACTGAATTTTTGACAATAGCTATTTTTGTCACTCATCATTATATAAAAAAAATAACAAGGTTTTTGAGATGTTGTTTTAGCATAAGGGAGTTTAGACTCCATTTTAGTTATAATTTCATGGGTAAATTTGGTGATTTCTCTCAAGTAAATCAAACAAAACCACTGTTTTCTAACAGACGTACACCCATACATTCAACGAAAAGAACATTTTTTGTTAACAATACATGTAGCTCACTTTAGTCGCTAGCTAGAGATACCATAATGCCCGTTGCCTGTGCTTATTGTATAACACACTAGTTTGTTGCCATAGCAATTTTTAACTCAGTATAAAAGTTCAACTCAAACTGATACATCAAAGCCATTTAATGCATAAACTTTGTAGTCAACTTATTATATCCAACCATTTTACTTCTTCGCGAATGTGTGTTGATTTCAACAACTGGTTGATATTACATTACCCTTCTATTGTGTGGTAACTATTGGCTCTCGATGTATCGACTACAGCCTATTGTCTCTTTTATTTCAACAACGACCTCTCGAAGCGTAATTTTTCTCCCGCGAAGAGTTTAATCTTTGTCTGATATTTACTCATGTTCAAGCCAGACATGGTATTATACTACGTTGAACGCGATTTTTAACTATGTTCCATTCGTGATCAAGTACAAAGATAAACAAATCTAGTCAAGTATTTAAATACGCTACTCTGTTTACGTATCTACAATGTCATATTTGATTTCATAAGTATCTAAGTTACCATTATTTTGTGTAAATATAATTAAAGGACTTTCCTTTACATTCAAGCAGACGGATGAGACTTATTTCCGACTCGGCAAACGAATTACTCAGTACATATTGAGTAAATAAACATGTTGTCCTTGTGCCATACGCGCACGATCTTCAACACTTAACCGATGAAAAAGGTGAAAAAACAAATTCCAAATCGAAATAGGCTGAAGTCTGCAGAATATGATCTCGGTCAGATGAACGGCTAAAAAAAATACATTTGTGTAAGTGTATAACAAGACTTGAATAACATAGCATAGTCGTTGTTATTTCTGCTATAGCATCTTTGCATTATGTGTATATGGATTGGATAGCGCGAAGGCATAGATAGAGCAACGTTTTTAACGCCACCAAAGGGGAGAAATTTTGCTCTAGGTTCGTATTTATTGTAGTAATACTAATATTCTTTATTTCTTCACTATTACTATCTACCTATTTATGGACACACTTTAAACTACTTGAACTGTACAAGAGCGGGAGAGCGATTTGCACAACGCTGGTTAATGGTCCGATATCGAGAGAATAAAAGTACTTTTTATGCGTAGTTACAAAACATGCGTTCAACGGCAAAGTTTGGAAACCACTAACGAAATGTATGCCATGAACTTAAATTGTCATAACGCAGTGACACCGTTAACGACACCGGGAAAACATGAGAGAGAAGTTTGATTTCATTTTTAGTTTGTTCCCCGAACAGCGGTACTCCCGTAGTGTGTACCAGGTTAGGGTTAGGCCATAAGTTTAATTCAATTTTCCTTATTTTAGTTCTATTACGAGTTCGGGGACTGTTTGTGTTGATATATCCCCTGGCCATAGGCTTCCCCCTTTACACAACTTAATGTAAAGTAGGCGAACAAAATTAGTTACCTCCATATTGGTACACATACTTCTGGAGCGCCCGAACAGCATTGGGTAAAGTAATATACGAAGGAAATTTATTTCCAAACTTTGGGATAATTTAACTCGTTTCCGAAAAATATTCATCTTGGGGGTTTATCAATACAGCGATACCAATACTCTAGCTAGGAAAAATATCCATATTCTACTACTGAAAGGTAAAAAACACTGATCGGAAGTGAGAGCAGTCTTAACATATTGATGCACATTACGAACCTTGTATCGTGCGGTTGCAAGGCACGTTCCAAAATATTGTTTGTCTGCGTTCGTCTGCCGAATGACATTAAACAACGTCATTGGTCTACCTGAGAGAACTCGAGGAGCAGAGTGAAATCAAATCGATGTTTGTACTTGTGTGTGGTAGTTATAAAAGTCGTGCATAAATGTGTCAAATTTTAGCACCTGCAATACAGAAGACGCTAAATACAGGTATACCGTACACATCAGGTAGTTTAAACGCCTAACGTCTTCTGACTGCTGACATGCAATTAATTGGCTGTTTGTTTTGATATATATTAAAAGCATAAAAATAACGAAGGCAGGTGCCCCAATTCAGGGCAACATCTCAAACGAAATTGATAGGGTTTGCTCTTTTCGGACGATATTGCGAAAGTTCAGTAGAACTGAGATTTTTTTAAACAAAATTTGCTCAAAACAAGGTCATGAAACTTACTTGGAAATCGAAAAGAATGATTCCAAACGAATTTACGGGTGACTACTGAAATACCGAAAGCTACCGGCACTATAAATAATCATGGTGTGGGATTGCGCATTAGTAAATACCGATTGACACGAGACTTGAGTCAGGTCGTGCCAAAACGTTGTGTTAAGCGTTAGGAAAATGCTTACCATCTCACCGCTAATAGAATTCCTTGATTACTTAACTTCTTTTCAATGCAGGTTAATTCACATTGCTCAGTAACAGCTTTATTCACCAAATTGTCAACCACGTGATTACCTTTTTGTAAGCTTTTCTCTCCCCGGTTAAAGCATGAACCCAATATCCACGAAGGGTCAGCTCAGTCAGTGCACTGCGCCAATCTTTCGATCATGGTGTGCGAGATCAGAAAAAAAGACGAAACAGTACAGACTCAGCAGCGTGAAAATATACATAGACTAAAGAGGTCGAAATCTATGTTGATGCTCCATAATTTGGAAACTAGGAAGATACAGTAGTGTATACCTAGGGCTGGGAATTCCAGGGAAACTATTTACTATGTCTACTTTTTCCCAGATTGACTTTATGCTTTTCTCGCAATATCTACTTGTCTTATTTTCATTGAACCTTTCATTCTTTGATTAACAGCTTTCCTTTCACATGTTTTTAAATGCCTCAAAATTATCTTATATACTTATCTTATATCCATGTTAATGTTCTCAAGTTTGCTTGCAAAATTTTCCTTTTCCTGATCTTTGATAGACTTCAGTACACGTTCAATGATCTCCTGTCAGCACCGTATTTTCTCAAATCTGTGATTAGGAAAACAAAAAATAATTTTATTTCACAAGATAATATGAAGTAGGCTATATCTTTCTAAAAAATATTGGACTAGGTTAAAAACACATTATGGGCCTCGCGAACTTTATTTGATCTAAAATGCATCTTGAGCAAAAAAGAATTTTGTTGAATTGGGTTGGGAAAAATACAATATTGCACCGGTATGAATTTTTCATATATATTCATTTATCGATATAGATAGGACGTTGCTTAGGGAATTACTTTATCTCCTTTTGTTAGTTTCCAAACGAAATCTAAATAAGGTATTCAGTAATCAAGCATGTGGTTAGGAATATGGAACGTGTTGGCGAATCAAATAATTTACATCAGATGTATAATTAGTTAATTTTCCGATTAAGAAATGCTAGAATGTACAGAATTGATTGGTTTAAATAACTCAATTATTAAAACTAGAAACAAAACTCAATGAGGTGTTTTTAAAACAAATAGATATTTGACATTATAATAATTGTTCAATAAATTATATTCACCTTCAAGTAATGAATTGAACTTTGGCAACTTTATTCACGAGCTGTAGCATACAGTGATTGTCCAGTCGTTCAAATAAAACTTTTTTATCGTCACCCTAATAACCGAATTGCGTAAGTCATTTTTAGCAGTTTTGAGAAAAACGTAACAAACTTCCTAATGATATTGCTATGCCATTGAGAGTCAATAATTTGCCATAGTTCAGTTTTTTGATCGTAGCCGGATTTAAGTTAATTTGTATGACGCAGTCATGTGCCGTCATAATGGCGCACTGTGACTTAGGCAGAAATGTGTCTATGACTAGGGGACATACGCAATTTTGCAACTTGACTATATGTACCAGTCCTGAAAACCAAACAATCCAAAAATCTAATCTAATCTCCAAAATAGCTAATCTGTTTCAATTACATTATTTTTTATGTTTAAAAATATATATTTCATCAATATAACACGCTCTGCACATCCACCGAAATAAGACTAAAGTTAAATATAAAGAATAAAACAGCAATGTACCCTTATATAAAAGTCAACCAAGGTGAATTGGACTCAGACAGTGAATATCACAAGTTCACGCCTTCCTATACTGTAATATCAATTGAAATTTATAAGTGCTAAGCTTGAATCTGAGATGCAAAAACTCGAAAATCCTTCGCCGAGGTTATTTTGCCTTTGTGACGTCACAATAGTCCTGCGTTAACAATCATAATTCATTATGACGAAACAACTGAACAAATTTGCATATCATACAAAATCTTTTTTTTATAGGTTTCGGAATTCTTAAAATATAATCTGAGTTAACAGACAGGTGCGCATCATTACACAAATACCTATTTTATGAAAAACTCAAAACCGCCAAAAATGACTTACGCAATTCGGTTATTAGCGTGACGTTATGCAACAAATACTAACTGGCACAACATAACAACATAATAAACTTTTATATATAGGTAATTGAACCGATATATCAGCCCACCTTGAAAAAAACCCACTCTTAATAATATCACAAAATAAAGATAAAATTACCTAGGCTTTCAGTTGCGTTCGTCTTTCACTGTCCTCTCCAACTAGAGTTGGGATGAACAGGAATTGTCATCAAATCAGGTTATTCCCCACCAATCTGCCAATGAGAATTCATGTAGCGCAACATGTTGGGAAATCCCATTCTGTCGCACTGGAGAGGACTATCACAAATCCTCCATATATTTTCATGTCGTCCATAATTAGGTAGTGAGATACTTTGCAGACTCAAAGTGATAACATTATCCCGAACTATTTCTTTGCATACCATATCTCAGAGCCTGTGTACTACATAATAACATGTCCCGCATTCTTGTGTACAAACTAAATTTACCTTTGATTTCAATTGATAACTAAAACTAACTTCTCATCGCTCCTGACAGAGCAGACACATACTTTATATGACGTCATATGTCTCGTCTGCACCTTTTATCGGGGTGAAATATACCATAGTCCAGTGGTTCCCAAACTTTTCAGAGTTGCGACCCACTATTTATTACCACAGCTTATGGCGACCCATTTAAATTTTTTATGACATAACACAGAACAGAGCAATGGCTAATCATCGTAAAACTGCCGTGTTTTCCTCGAAAATAAGACCTGGCCTGAAAATAAGACCTAATTTGAATTTTAAAAGTGATTTTAAATGAACCCAACCCTTAAAATGAATTTAAAATGTGTGGGAGAGGAAAGGTACAATGACCTGAAGTAAGTTGAAGATCGCACCACTATTCAAGATTGTGTGATGTCACAATTATGATATTTGTCACTTGATTTTTGTATAGGAAATACAAATAAAAACAATGGATGTCGGTTTTTGTATAATGTTTATCTCGTGATTTTCTACAATGTAATTTTATTTTTGATAAATGAACTCAAAAGACCTCTTCCAAAAAAAACATAGTGTTATTCTTCAAAAGGAAATAAATCTAAATCATGTCTAAATTTCGGGGAAACACGGCAAGAAGTGCTGTACAGTGTACAAAACTGCTATGCGTAAATAAGCCACATGATCATTCTTTGTGTAGCAAATTTTTGTTCCTTTGAGAAGATCGTAAAAAGGAAACTTTGACAGATTAGAATTTAAATTCAATTTAATATCTTTTGTTTTTTATTGAAGATTTACGTATTCGAGTCGCCACCGATCCTAATAACTATTATAGTTATTCAAAGCTTTCTACATCTTTTCACGACCCACTAAGATTCATTTTGCGACCCACCAGTGGGTATAAAAAATCAACTACTGTTCAATATTTGTATTCATTGCTTCATTTAATCGCCCAAGGAATTAGTTTATGATATATTCCTCATCGGCTGTGCCTTACGAATTCTGAAAATAACGTCATTGGCATATTTAACAGGGTTGATTAACGCAGACAACATTATATAATTTCGGAAATGATTGTAAACGAATTGGATGGGACAAGTTCAAAAGATTTTAACCGCATACAAAATTTCATTCTTGAGCAATTTTGGTGCAAACAATTACAACGTAGATTAAGCAGCATTCGCCATTTTCAAGAAAATGCTTCGCCATTTTCACGAAACACAATACAACCCAGCCCGGAACTCGCTTCAAAAATGAGTGGGGTTTTCACTGACCTGTTGCATGTAATATAAGACTATATTCTGAAACAGGGATCGGCAACCTTTTGTAGATCGCGGGCCAAAATTAAGACATTTCAAGACATTGGCGGGCCGCACATATTTTTGGAAAGTTGAAAAACTTTTTATATTAAAAATCAAGCAGTGATACATCTCTCGAATAGAATACGGTAGATTTAATTCCTCATTGCATCTCATAAAATTTCATTTGAATATTTTCAGCGCCATTGAACCCTTTGAACTTAGCATCAACTTTTCTGCGTTTTGTTGCCGACCCCTGTTCTAAAACATGAGGAATTTTTATTTTTTTGTTTGTTTTTGATTGTTTTTCAAATTGAAACTCAATTAAAACTAAAAATGATTCAAAGTAGATGTGAATGATAGTGTATAGCAAAGAATAACAAAAAAAAACATTTTTTATGAAATTATCAAGTCAAATTTATGGCTATTCAACGACAATATCCTAAATGTAATATTTTCCTTACCTTGTACATTGCTCTTACAACTTTAATAATATCTGTTATAGTGAATGATGCATCATTATTTACCTAAAATGAAAATCTTGCTATGTAACTTAATTTTTTAATACATTTCTCAAGTAATTTTGATCAATTTCGTTTTGTCTGTATGTCAACCGCAATAATACAAATATTGAACAAGATATTGGAATGTCCACAATAGTTTTTTTAATACTTCGTTATATGATAAGAAGAGTTGAACGATATTTGCAATTCTTTGCGAGTATTTTTCAAACCCATTATAAAATATTTTGTAAAATCATAGTTACATACCGTGTTGAGTCATGTCAGGTCAACTCAAAAGTAAAAGAGGATAATGCTCGCTTTAGAAATGTCAAGATATACATGGGGTAAAAAAGGGCGGAAGGCATGTATTTATTAGAAACAAAAACATTATAGTGCGTTATAGTTTTATCAAAAATTATATAAAAAATAGGCGCTGGCAACTTCTACTTAACTTACAAAGGCTCCTGTCACAAGTAATGATAAAATGTTGAAATTCATTATGCAGATCTGTGTTCAGTGTGCAGGGTAAATAACCCATTTGCGATTTTGCTTAATTAAATAATGTCAAAAACTTATCTAACGTTCTAAAATTAAATGATTCGGCTAAATTGTCTAAGAAAAGAATTGAGAAATCCTTGGGGGATTATATTCCTCGAAAAAGCTGGGAATTCAATGCTCGCATCTAGTCAATGAGCCTGGTCATATAGTTACGCGGATTGTATGAATATCATAACATACTTTGCCGTGCTGTCTGTGGGCATTGCGATATTAAAAGTGTAGTAACCACTGCTCTAGTTGCTTATGGCTTTTCTGATTATTCTAGACTTTGCATTAGGAACGAATAATCTGGAAACTATCTTTCATATTGATTCGG